ACAACCAATTCAAAAGGTGATTCTTGGGTATAGCGATAATGTCCCCAAGGAGAACGACGACATATTCTTTGTATATGCGTTCAACGGAGATTGTCTACACGATTAAGTTTCGTGTCATACGTTTCATCCTTTAACGATGAAATCTCGAGATAGATTAGAATCCCTCGTGATCTTTCTCCTATGCCTAGAATATTTTAACCGATGAATCTGATTTATAATTATAAACTACGTCAAAGAGACAATGCAGTCCATATGAAAATTAAATATGTGAAAACGTTATAAATGTTACAAAGCTGCTCATGATCACAACCTAAGAACATCATGAAGCACAGTTGATGGTGTCCATTCAGAATCGTACTGTTTTGGTTTTGTGGTCGATCAGCATATTTTATTCTGCTACTGCTGATTGAAACGCACGCAGTATAAACTCCATATGGTAGTAAACTGATTGTGACAAGCACGACACGGATGAGAGTCACTATGATCAACTCGTAGCTACGCGAGATTCACTGTCTGCATGACGCAAATGATACCGATCAGCTATAAAATTGCGTAGATCACAACATTTGAGTTGAGATTTTTACAAGTGTTGGTCAACAGAGAAATATCGTAAAATATAACAATGGAAATTCTATGCACCAGCCAAATGATGACCGCAACCAACCCGGCTGGACGAGCGAAGCGAATTTGACAGTAACGTCGGAATGCGGTATGCTTCGAAGCGAGTAAGAATTGATCGATGGTTACCAGTGATGAGAAGGAAACAATCAGTGTAAATTGTAGACTGTTGAGTAACGCATAATAAGGTGACGCTAAGTTCTGTTCTTCAGTTGAACAGTGTATGTGGAAGAAGAAAACGGTGAGGAGGTCTTCATGCGAACAGCAAATGTATCGAAGCTTTTTACTTCGTACAGTGTGAAAGGTGTCAAAATAACAGTGGCACCATATTAATACGGGATTCTTGCTTCATAATTCAATCGTAACATGTTTTTTCAGCAAGAAGATCTCTAGTGGAACGGAGAGAAAGATACGTTAATTGACAACAATAGGGCAGAATCTACGATTATCGCCGGACAGAATGAATCTGATAGGTGGACTGCTAACAAGCAAGAGACGAGCTTATTTTTAGTGAACATAATAAATTATTGAGTAAAATATATTGAAAGGAATTCTACAATGCAATTTGCTTCTACCGAACAAAGAAAGAGAATTGAATTGCAAAAAGAAAATTTATTCATGCCTGTGCAAATGGCATTTGCATATCCACACCACTTTTCTCTTCATTTTGGATATGAGAAAATGTATATCATAGTCATCTACTAATCATTTCTTCGTGTGAGAGATGCGCATGAACTATTTCATTACTATAATGTATCATATCACTTTGAGGACATAGTACGTTCATCCACATTGATATCCCTCCTCGGGGTAATTATTGCTCTTTCTTCTATTTAATGATAGTAACGCGTTTATTGTAAAAGGTAAAATAGACCATTCAATCAAGGTCGATGTTGTCATCGGAAAACGTCGTACTCTCTGGATAAACCTGATTTTCGCTTTGAGAAACCCAAGTCTTTATTGATCTCCAACATTTTTTCTTCAGAACGTACTTCACTTGCCGACGATATCGCGCCGATGTGATCAAAAACAAATACAAATTAATCTAAAATGCACGAACTACGTTTTTCTTCTCGGTTGCAAGACAAAACCTTACTGCGGTATTTGTATTAATCAATGAGTAGGATACAGTTTGAATCAATCGTTCGATCGTTGCTCTCAATTGATCTACTTTCTCAGGATTGATATTGATCGAGTAGACTCGATACGTTGCATAGGGCAACTGAAATAAAACAAACGCAATAACACGAACAAGTACCATTGCTGTGATTTGACGGTCAAAACGACGACGTTCAATCGGAATTTGTCGACGAATAACTCGGCGCACATTCCCATAAGCAATTAAACTGAACGTAGAGGCAATCAGAATCGGCACAAAGCCAGCAAGAAGTGGATAATAGAAATATTTTGCATATTGACTCCATATCGGATTTGATATGATACATCCCAATAATGGATGGCTACTAACGCAAAGACCATATAGAATACTATGCACAACATTGAAACAAATGCCTATCGCCACTAAATATCGAGCAGTTTTCAATGTATAAAGTTGTCTTAAACTGCAACGATGATTTGTTGAAAATAGTTGATCACAAGCCGATAAGCAAATCATATACGATGTTGTTAAAATCGATGTCTGAAAGATAATAAGTCGTAGTTTACACCAAATCGTTGAAGTTACTATTGTCGTATCATTGTAGACTAGAGGCACGACTGTTATGATAAATGTCATTAACCCACATATAAAATTTGAAATTGATTCAACGATTAGATATAGAGTAGATCGATTGGTTCGAAAGGATTTCAATCGAAGAAAAACTAAAATGTTCAGCGGGTTACTTATAAATGAAGCAATACTTGTAATACAATTCGCATAAATTAAATATTGAGAGGTAACTTGGGAAATCACTGCTGATGTTGAATTTGCTGTCATGGTAGGCGTTAGGTACTTCTATGAAAATGAAAAGGATGGTCGTTTTTTCTTTTGACAATCATATTAAAATGTCAAAGTAAAAGAAGCCTTAGATGGGCGTATTAAAAGTGACATAATCGAAGCTGACTTTTTGACAGCAATTCACTCTCCGCGAGAAAACAAATAAAAACAACCAAGTTTCATTCTGTGAAAGGTAAGAACGCCTTAGATTTTTTGCTATGAAACAAACCAATGTCTATGATTTCGGAAAGATACTCAAGTGCATGAAACACCACATAATCAAAAGAAAAGCTTGTAAAGATGACGTTAAGCACAGAGCTTAACCCTTTAGGGACAGGGTTTTTTCTCTGTATATTTCATCATAAATCAATCCGCATTTCTATCTTTTAAAAGAACTTTATAGAAATGTGTGTTTATGTAGAACATCGCCTAACATCTCCCTATACAGAAAGCAACGTTGCTGACAACGATTCTAGATGATAAAGTTCTTTTTATCTGAAAGTCACTTTTCTTATATTTATTATCTATTACTAGACATCTAAATAAAATAACCTAATTACAATCCAAATTATGCCGAAAGACTCTCTGATAAATGCTTTAACAACAACTAATATCATATAGAAATCTGTGTACTTTGAAATCCCAGAGAATATTATGGGTCCCTTAAGGAGCCAACCGTCCCCAAAGGGTTAAAAATATTCTAATCTTTTGGTTAAAATTATTAGCATGTGCTGCTATACAAACTGATTCTTTCACAGAAACTATCCGTAGGCTACAATGTTCCTCCTGATTTAAAAAATTTTTTGTGTACTTCGATAGACTTTATTTCATAATCAACTACGAACGCATCTGTATCGAGAATAATGGTGCACTTCTGCGTTATTTCAATCATTCTTTTCTAACTGAATCCTTTCGTTCTTTTATCATGAAATTAAGTATATTTTTGCTGTGCATCTCGTCTACGGTTTTAATTTGTAATTGTTTAATAACCAAAAGCAGCCAAGTCCGGACTAAAGGGAATGAAACATACAGACGTTGTAGATACTATCACAGTCAATGCATGTCTTTGTGAAAAATCAAGTTGTCGCGCCAGCATCGAGAATATATTCACAACAAGGATTGAATGGGCTTAGGTGCCAAAATATATGATTCAAACCGATCACTTGCAAAAAATTGGTGCTATGTTCGTTGTTCTTGAATGTGTAGAATCAGTCGTTATGTATGATGAGAATAGTTTATGAAGGTGTGCTCTGAATATAATTCATTTACTCACTGATTCTGCTTTGCATCTTGCAAGTGTATGGTGAACAACAACCGATTGTTTTTTTTTTGCAGAACGAGCACTCTTGAAAAAATAAATCTCAAAATAACCTCCTCGTTTTTTCTCGCATGTTGTTTTCAGACTTCATATTCAAAAGAACGTTTGAAAGAGATGGAGGCAAGACTTGTCATGATTGGTCTTGACGATGCTGGCAAAACAGTACTATTGTATCGACTGAAAATAGGTGCACTTTTGACAACAATTCCAACACATGGTTTTAATGTTGAAATGATAGAACATCTATATATATAAAGAAGAAAGTTTGTTTGTCTGTCTGTTCGCTATGCATTCAGTCCCTGTAGCAGCTATCGGCGTGAAACTTTCCACAATGCTTCCTGAGACCCAGAGGGAGATCGACATCTACTTTTCCTCGAGAACAAAGGAGCCAGCCGTTTGCTGCAGGCAATATATGAAACGGACCAATAGGATTGCGAGATTTCCCAAATTGAGGAAATTNAATGTTAACAGCTAATATTGAACCTATACATAGTTCAGACGCTATTACCAGTGTCAATTATAAATCGACAGGTTCAATAACTGAGCAAGTGTTCTGTTTCATGCATACTAATAATAGTAGATAATTTTCTTCTTAGAACCATGCCATTTACTGTTCTGCTGCGATGTGTATTTATCAGTGTTCTAGTAGTCGCACTACTGGTTGCAGCTTTAGTTGGCCCATTTATTTATTTTGGTCGACAAGAAAAGAATGAAAATGAGTCGAGAAGTATAAATTCATTTCCTACTTCCTTTTAATACTTCTTTTTCCGCTAGGCTCTTCTTCTCAGACATCTGGAACTACTGTATCATCAACACGTGCTCTAACTTCAACAGGTTTGTGTATATTACATGCATTTTCACCAGTTTGAGAGATAAAATCGAGTTTTTTCTCTCTTAGTAACACTGTGTCCAGCGACCTTTCAACTTGCATATTCCTATTCGCTTACTTCTGGTCAAAGATACTGGCCTGGATCTGTTACCGTGAATGATATTGATAACGATGGGAATTTAGACATTATTGCCGTCAATCCTAGTGAAAATAATGTGGTTATATTACTCAGCAAAGGTGACGCAACTTTTAAATCACCAGTGACACTCTTTACTGGAGCAAACAGTGCTCCTCAGCTAGTCTTTGTCGATGATTTCAATCACGACCAACTACTAGATCTTGCTGTCATAAAAAATCCGGTACCAAGTATTGGTATATTCCTTGGAAATGGCAATACGACTTTCGTCAGAGAAGTTGCGCTTCCTCTTCGAGGATATAACAATCCGACAGCGATAGCCAGCGCTGATTTCAACGAGGACAACTGTTTAGATTTGGTTGTAGCAAACGATTATGGTAATAATGTAGGTGTGTTATTCGGTAATAACAACGGCACTTTTCAAAGTCCGATACTATTGGACACCGGAGACTGGAGTTTCCCAAGTTCAGTTGCAGTCGCTGATTTCAATCAAGATGCACACATTGACATTATCGCCGCTGGCTCTCTTAGTGACATTATCTATGGATTCTCTGGTGATGGCTATGGATCTTTTACTACGCCAATACTGTTATCATATAAGCAGTACTGCGCGCCTAGCACCATTATTGTGGCTGATTTTAATGATGATAATCGATCAGATATTGCTGTGACAAATTCGAACTTATACAATACGGGTATAATGCTTGGCAAATATGATGGAACATTCACAGAACAAACGATATATTCAACTGCAGCTTATGCTGGTAACAATCCGATGGTTGGCGGTGATTTTAACCAGGACAATATATTAGATATAGTTATCCTGAGTTATCACACGCCATATTTGAAAATATTACTTGGTATTGGGAATGGAAATTTTCTTGAACAAACGAAAATGTGGACTACTTCGTTCAGCAGTAGATTACAGACAGTGACTGTCGGTGACTTTGATAAAGATAATAAATTAGATCTCGTTGTTACCGACTCCGTTAACAAAACGATTCGAGTTTTCTTGAACACGTGTAATTGTTAAAGTGTTTTAAATGAAGATAAAAGAACACTTTTTGTTGTGAAAGCAAGTAATTATATCAGTAAACGACAAATTCCTGTGATATGACTCGAATAAATATTAAAAGAACTGTTCAAGGAATAAGAGCTCGTATTATATGTGCCTCCCTGAAGCTAAAATAAATGGTCCTTTCCGGTTGATTCAATGTATCTCTAAACTGTTTCTCTTGAAAGCATCGGTAATCAATTAGAAAAGAATTCATGTTTTAGATGAAAGGCAACTGATGGCAGGACTGTTTATCTATCTGTATTACGTGTCCGAGCGCAATTCAAAAAGTAAAACGAAGAATGATAAAAACACAGTGATTCATTCTTAACTGACTTCTTTATTGATATGCTGCGTCGGTTCTTCTTTCATGTAAACTTAAGCTGCTTGGACTAATTTAGAGCCAAACCATCTCTTTTATAATATCCATACAGGAGTAGAGGTAATACTGTGTCATTATTAATTGTAAAAAAGGACTATTTTGTTCTACATTCTTATAGCCTTTTTTGCCAGAAAAATACGGGTCAAATGAAGCGTGTACTGACTGTTAATGGAGGGGCATTTGGAAATTTGTAAGAAGGGTGCTGCAGTACGTCCTGATTCTAAAGATATCAAAACTGTCACTGATGATGCAAAAAAAAATCGAATGCCCTGTTGTATTAGAAACTATCAGTGATGATAGCAGGCAAGGCATGACAGTTTACTACTTGGAAATTGGGAAGGCTCGTCATACCAAAATTCAGGTAGTTGGTAATGGCGAAGGATCTGTTGTACATTTTGGCAAACAAGGTCGCAATTTACAGAAAAGAAATCGAAAGGCAATTGAAGAAGGCTTTGGTCCTTTCATATTACATTATAAAAACTAGGTAAGGACATGTAAGATGCTGCAATTGCTTTGAGTTGAGTATTCTTTTCTTTTTATTAAAAGATGTCTTTCATCCTTCTTTACTTTTTACTGTATTGACTTAAAGACGATAGTTCGGAAATCCGATCAACATACAAGTTTGTGAAGATAAGTCAAAATTTTATTTTCACGGATGATAAAGCTACAAAAGCTAGTCGTTACTTAGTAGCTCCACTTTTTTTTTACCACGTGGAGTATTATTTACCAAATATTTTATCCTATGTACAAGCAAACAGGTGATGCGAAGCGAAAGCGACCATCCATCCGTGTTATTTTCTATGGCTGGGCGTTGACAACAAGAATATACGTATCTATATTTCTTTCTCTTCACGTATTCGAAAGAAAATCGGCAAAAGTAGATAGTACGAACATTATATTCGAAATAACTGACACAAGCGAAAACTAAGTAACGCGATAGACATAACAAATGCGTCCTTCGCGAAAAACACTAAATAACAACATCGTTTCATATGGTTCCAACGAAACAAGTTAATCACTCGAAGTCGACCATTGTTCGACGTCACTAGGATGACTGTGCACATGGAAACTATGTTATTTTTCAGCTGAACTCTTCAAGAGTCAGTTGATNAACATTATATTCGAAATAACTGACACAAGCGAAAACTAAGTAACGCGATAGACATAACAAATGCGTCCTTCGCGAAAAACACTAAATAACAACATCGTTTCATATGGTTCCAACGAAACAAGTTAATCACTCGAAGTCGACCATTGTTCGACGTCACTAGGATGACTGTGCACATGGAAACTATGTTATTTTTCAGCTGAACTCTTCAAGAGTCAGTTGATATTAACAGCGTTCGCGTATTTCGCGAACGTTAAATACCAATAACGACATTAACTCTGCTTCGGAAAGAGCACCAACTTCAGAGACGACGACTGCGTCGCAAGACTTTATCCAACTGCATATGAAAGTAATCCCACGTTGCTGCCACTACTCTTCTCATACGAAAGAAATATAGTGTTCTATTTTTACGAATACAATCTCCAGTCAACATCCTGAGTACATCCATCCAAGGCCAATCACTTACATGAAAGCTATTTATTTGCAGGTATGTGAAATCTTTTCCCCGTTGTTTCGCGTACAATTTTGGGAAACCGAAGTTGGGGTAATGCTATGACTTAGCACGACTTGAACCGAAACAACAACTTCTTCTTCTACTTCTCTCTCTCTCTCTCTCTCTCTCGTTGTTTCGCGTACAATTTCGGGTAGCCGAAGTTGGGGTAATGCTATGACTTAGCACGACTTGAACCGGAACAACAACTTCTTCGTCTTCTCTCTTTTCTCTGTCTTCTCGTCTCTCTCTGTTCCTGTTTCATCGCTTTACCGAAATATATTGGAAAGATGAGCCAATGGAGAAATATCTCGACCGTCTGTGAACACATTTGACACACAAGTGGGCGACGAATGAAAATACAAGCTTTTCCAACAGCGGCACAAGTCCTATTATGGTGTGTCATACACAACCACTGCAGAGTCGTTCATTACCGATTCGCGCTTTTGGGCGAAGCCATCGTATTCAACGTTGTATCTACCACTCTGATTATAATTTTGAATATCGCGAACCATAACATTTGGAAATCTCATGAACATGTACACGCTATGAGGGTGTTGATTATTTTCTTCAATGTGACCACTATGCAAGCGACGAAGACGAGAAACAAAGACAGGCATGAACACATCGAACATGTTTTCAGTTTGATGAATGTGTGACATCTTGAGAAATAAAGAAAAGCAGAAGTGTGGGTGTGAACGTGAGGACAAAAAAAGTTGCCGAATGGGCAACTAGATGCGCCAGTCTGAAGGTAAGTTAAAATGCTTAGAATTCAGCAGTGCTGTCAAAATTGAAAGTTGAATCCAAGTACTCCACTATTCTAATGTTTAATTATTTCCTTTTCTGAAAGAAAGGTTTACACAACGGTTAAGTCCTCGGCTAAAAGAGCTTGAAGTTTACCTGTCTGTCCTTTCCAAGCAGAAATCAGCATTTATGAAATCAATGAAATTTATTGATAGTCATCAGGGATTCACTTCTGGTAGGGTAATCGAGGTCGTGGAACTCGCATCTGATGTTAGTTTTTCTCGTATTCACCAACCTTCGGCGTCTACTTTATTCTTCCCAAAAGATGTGTTTTTCTGTATGTTTTCTAAGATCGTTCGTATACGGTAGTGGGTTAAATGTTATTCCTGTATGTGTTGTGTGCGAAGATAATAGCTTAGGAGCTTACACAAAAAGATTTAGTATATCTTACATTAAAATACTTGTAATTCAAGAAACGAGAAGAAGCGGTCGAGCTCAATATAATTATTGAATTGTTAGCTGCGATACATCAGGTCTTTCGATAGGATTTCAGCAGAAATATGTTGCAATAGAGTATGTCTGTCACTACGATTCCATCTTATTATCTACAGAGGTATCGACTATACAAATCATCATCATCATGTCCCTTACGCTTAACACCCGTTGGGGCCAACCATTCTATGCGACCAGATTTTTCCATATCTGTCGATCTTGCACAAGACAGAACAGCTCTTTTCCACTGCTTTGACACCACTCAGTTATGTCGTACAGCCGCTCTCTGCATGATCGCCCCGTCGAGATTTTCCATCCATTTTCCCAGCTAGTAGATGTTTTATCAATCTACTATTGTCCATTCTGCAGATGAGGCCAAACAACTGCAGCTTCCTCTTTTTGATGGTGTCAATTATCGCCTCCTCTCTTGATATCCTTCTTCGGATATCTTCGTTTCGCATCGTGTCCTGCCAGTTTATTCTTAGAATCCATTGGTAACATTTTATTTCGAGTACCAATAATCTTTCCTGTCTGCTTCTTTCAAAGTTCACGTGTCTGAAGCGTGTAGTAGGACACTGGCGGCACAGGTATTTAGGACTTGTAGTTCGTTATCTATCCTCAGCCTTTTGCTATTCCAAGTATATTTCAATGGGGCTAGTGCACCTGTCACCTTTTCTATTCGCCTTTTGATTTCCGTTGAGCAGTTATTATTTCAAGTGATTAAATTGCCGAGGTATTCGAATTTTCCTAGATTCTCTATGATGCCGCCTGCTACTTGTGTCTTATTTTCGATACTCCTGTCTTTAGATACCATAGTTTTGATTTTATGTATAATTATATGCTGTTTCTGCCAGCTCAACTTAGCGTTGAAGTGAGCTAAGATCTTCATTAATGAAAACAATGCCATCGACGAACCTTAGTTTGCTTATAAGTATTCCACTGACATTATTTCCGCACGTGTTCTGCCTTACCTGATCCATCACTCTTTCAAGATATATGATGAAGAGGAGTGGTGAAAGAGGATTGGCTTATCTTGTTCGTACGTCCGCCTGAAACCACTCGCCATAATCATTACCAATTCGAACAGCTGACTGTGACTTTTCACAGATATTTTGTGGCGGTGTGCTTATTTTCGTATCAGCACCATATGATTTTAGCGTAGGTCAATTTATTTTATGTTTGGTCGTATCGAATGCTTTTTCAAAATCAGTAAAACAGTTATAGATTTTCTTTCCCTGTCTTTNTCCTTTCGCATCGTCTCCTGCCCCTTTATTCTTAGAATCCATTGGTAACATTTTATTTCGAGTACCAATAATCTTTCCTGTCTGCTTCTTTCAAAGTCCACGTGTCTGAAGCGTGTAGTAGGACACTGGCGACACAGGTATTTAGAACTTGTAGTTTGTTATCTATCCTCAGTTTTTTGCTATTCCAAGTATATTTCAATGGGACTAGTGCACCTGTCGCTTTTTTATTCGCCTTTTGATTTCCGTTGATCAGTTATTATTTCAAGTGATTAAATTGTCGAGGTATTCGAATTTTCCTAGATTCTCTATGATGCCGCCTGCTACTTGTGTCTTATTTTCGATACTCCTGTCTTCAGATGCCATAGTTTTGATTTTATGTATAATTATATGCTGTTTTTGCTAGCTCAACTTAGTGTTGAAGTGAGCTAAGATCTTCATTAATGAAAGCAATGCCATCGACGAACCCTAGTTTGCTTATAAGTGTTCCACTGACATTATTTCCGCACCCCAGACAGACAAGACCCTTAAAAAAACGTGTAAAAACGCGTAAAAAAACGGGAAAAGCGCACATTTTCAGGCACAAAAACGAGTTAAAAACTAAGTTTATACGCGTTTGTCTGCGTGAAAATATGCGTTTTTCCTGGTTTTTACGCGGTAATGGTTTAACCCGTAAAAACAAAGAAAGAAGTGCACATTTTTAGGCAGAAAAACGCGTTAGAAACTAAATTTATACGCGTTTTTCTGCGTTACTGTTTCGTAAAAACGGCGCTTTTACGATAGTCTGCCGTTAAAACGCCGTATTTACGCTCTTTTAACGCGTTTTTTTAAGGGTCTTGTCTGTCTGGGACGTGTTCTGCCTTACCTGATCCATCACTCTTTCAAGATATATGATGAAGAGGAGTGGTGAAAGAGCATTGGCTTATCTTGTTCGTACGTCCGCCTGAAACCACTCGCCATAATCATTACCAATTCGAACAGCTGACTGTGACTTTTCACAGATATTTTGTGGCGGTGTGCTTATTTTCGTATCAGCACCATATGATTTTAGCGTAGGTCAATTTATTTTATGTTTGGTCGTATCGAATGCTTTTTCAAAATCAGTAAAACAGTTATAGATTTTCTTTCCCTGTCTTTNATTGGCTTATCTTGTTCGTACGTCCGCCTGAAACCACTCGCCATAATCATTACCAATTCGAACAGCTGACTGTGACTTTTCACAGATATTTTGTGGCGGTGTGCTTATTTTCGTATCAGCACCATATGATTTTAGCGTAGGTCAATTTATTTTATGTTTGGTCGTATCGAATGCTTTTTCAAAATCAGTAAAACAGTTATAGATTTTCTTTCCCTGTCTTTCTACTTTCTCGGCCAGCAGTCAAAGCGTCAGTATCTGGTGTACTGTGCTTCTCTCTCTCTCTCTCCTAAATCCCGCCTATTCTTCTGCAAAAATATGGGTCTAGGTAGACTTTTAATCTATTCAGTAGTACAATTAGGAGTACTTTTCCTGTATGACTGATAAGTGAGACCGTTGGATAATTAGAACAGTTGCTAAGATCTCCTTTTTTGGTGAAGGTATCAAAATAGATTTGCCCCATTCTTCTGGAATTGTATCTTCACGCCATGCTTTGTTACAGAGCTGATATATTTCACGTGCTAGTGGTTCTCTTTCAGCTTGTAGCATCTCTGCTGAAATTCCGTGTGATCCTGAACTCTTATTTCTTCTTAATGCACGTAGTCCTGTTTGGACTTCAGAATACTGGATATCGTTGGTATGCTCAACTATCAGAGGGGCGATGCCTTCAAGCTCTTCAACCACCTCGTCTCCACCACCAGGACCTTTATACAGACTACTACAATACTGTGTCCATCTATCTTTAATATCATCTTTTGTCTGTAACAATCTTACCAATGTTTAGACCTTTTCAGCTTGTTCGCATTGATTTTCTATTCAGCATTTTTTCTCCTCTCTTGCAGATTTTTTCACTTTCCGACATAAGTCTTTACATTGCTGCGTATATTCTATGCAAATATTTTTCATCAACAAGTTGCAGCGTTTCTTAGTTTTCCCTTTTGTTGGTATCGCTGTCTTTACTGCGTTTTTAATGGTCTGCCCTATCTTGTTTGAATGCTCTCCCAAACTACATGTTGGTCCTATACCCTTTATGCTGTTCAATAATGTAGCATGGTATGATTATCTGATATTCTCATCTTTCAACTGATTTACATCTTCCATCTACTTTGTATGAGAATGAGATCAATTATATTCTTATGAATACCATCTGGTGATGCCCAGGTCCATTTTCTATTAGGTTTCTGTTGAGATCGCGTATTGGATATGTAGAGATCATGTACTGTGGCACATTCTAGGAAGCTTTCTTTTCTGTCGCCATATCTGTATTTACCCATAACTGATTTCCACTCTACATTTTCCGTACCAATCTCCTATCCTAATGATTATATCCTTTTTATCTGTTTTTGCTATTACTATTTCAATATCGCTATAGGATGCTTCAATGTCTTCTTCTGATGATGCAGAACTTGGTGCATATACATATATGACTGTTATCTTTGAATGGTGTTGCATCAAATCGTGCCGAAATTATTCGTGGATTGATTGGATTATATCCTATTAATGCCTTTTTTGCGCGTGCACTTAATAAGAAATCGACACCCTTCATTGTACAATTTCTTCTTCTGACCAGACGAAATCCGCATTCAGTGTTTCACTTTTTCCTGCCATCGCACTTCAGAAATACCAATTATATGATGCCTGAATCGTTTCAGTTCGTTTCGTAACAATTCTAATTTTCCAACAGCCCGTAGGGCCTGCACATTCCATGCTCCTACTGTGAAAGACTTTTTGGCACGAGCTGAATGTTTTGAGTTTTTTGTCGTATATGAGCTCTTTCCAGTCGCCACTTTATCGACTCTGCCCTGGTCACTAACGTAAACAGAGGACGCGGACCTTGTTCTTCTGGGCGCCGTCCAACCCGGTATGAATTTCCTCTTAAATCGCTCATGGTTGGTTTCTCTCGTCTTGCTCTTTTTACAGACGGCGGTTTCTGCACCCCTTCCGTCCAACGTTCCTCCTTTATCCGGACTTGTGACCGACATAGAGTCCACAGTTAGTGATCTCCACGGCGGAGTTCGATTATACAAATAGTATTCTAATAATATAAAGCTCTATGATGGCTACTCTTTTCGCGGTAAAGCATAAAAGTTTCGTATCTTATTTCTTTTGGTAGTGAAGTAATGGAAGGTTACCACTGTGGGAGCAATGATGAAAAGAAAGGTAGTTATTCAATTTGACAGCTAATAAAAAATGAAAGGCATAATGAGGCGTCTCTTTTGAAAGTTACCTGAAAGATGAGGCTTTTAAGAGTCCTGGTGAGTGCCAAGGACTTTTCGAAGGGCTATATTTATGTCCCTTCGAACTTTGAGAATAAGCTCTGCACATCCTCAGCTCCCTAAATCGAAGCGAACAATAAAATATGGACTCTGAATCACACAGTCACGAAGAATTTTGATAACTACGACTGCAGGCGGTCTCAGTGTGGAATTATCATAGAAATTTATGATGGATCAACGGCTAGCCGTGAGTGACAGCTCGGAGGAACACCGAAGAATGACTAGGCGTTCGTTTGATGAGATCTGAGGAAGCAAATCAAGTATGAGTAAAAGACTAGAATAAATTATCAAATGATGGCATCACCCCGCATCATTCAAATGGAATAACGTTTATTTATTTCTTTTGAGGAATAAGAGAGGTCTGATGATATTGTTTCAGTACAGGGTTAGCAGGTACTACGCTGTGTTAACTATTTTATTTAGATGAATGGTAGCCGTAGGTCTTTATATACTAGGCATGCAACAATCCCGATTCAATCGGAATCGAATTGAATCGGGATTGTTCCATGCCTAGCAGCGGTGCCCACAGGGCAGGGCAGGGCATAGGCATCGTGCCCTGCTACTTTTAGACCTTAATCTTTTTGTTGTATGGAAAATAAAAAAGAATAACCGTTTTCTCGACGATATAGTGTACAAGAAAGCAAAAAATGTGATAGATGTCGTTCCCTGAAGCGATCTAACTATTTTCAGTAGTATGGATGATTGATGTGACCAATAAGAATATTTAAAACAACAACAAAGGTCTCTGTTCTACAACAATGAAAATGTATTTACTGTTTTGGTCTGTTAGTTTTCACTTCCAATTGATTCAGTGAAGGGATCTGGCTATGAACTCGACATCCATCGATTTAGTGGCAGAGATTCATTCATCTTCTTCTGATGAAGAAAACGAAATATCTTTTTCATCGGTTTCAAGGGTCTCTAGTGCATGTTGTACTTCATCTTTGTATACGAATAAACAAATAGAATTTTTCCTTCGAACAGACAAACAGAAATATCGTATTTTGGCTAACGAAAACAACAAAAAGGCCACAAGCTGGTGGCGATCATTTGGTTTTCCCGCTGTTCTAAATGAAAAGAACGGATTTGAACGAATTCATGGTTACATTAGTTGCACAAAATATTATCGTACGTCAATCTATGGTTCGAAAAGTGGCACCAAACGATTTATCGATCATGCCAATCGATGCTCACCGTTATCATCCCAATCTATTCCTAATCAAAGAAATCCTGAAGAATCACAAGCCACTTTGGACAATATCGTTATCAAGAAAAAAGCTCACATTACGACGAAAGAACAAAATGAAATCAAACATTTGTATGCTAAATGGATATGTGAAGATTTACGTCCTTTCACGATCGTCGAGAATAATGGATTCCAACAACTAGCACAAACATTCATTCGATTAGGTGAGGGAAACTTTTGATATTGTGAACGATCAATACTGTCCTCTCTCAGGTTCTCAATATGGTTGCATCGATGTGAAAGAAGTGGTGCGAAGTAGACAAGCTGTTGCTCGAACAGTTGATGATTTAGCACAAAAACATCGAACTATTCTGAAGAGTGAACTTCGTGAACCACTGAAAGCACAAGCGATAACGATAGCACCGGATTTTTGGACTAGCAAATACAATCAACAAGCTTTTCTCCATATGATGCATTATAGCGATTGCCGGGAAATTGTATGTAGAGTCAGTTTAAAACGAATTTCCGGAAATTGAATTTCCCAATTTCCTAGCTTGGAAATTAGGTGAGGACTTCTTATACGGATGTCCGTATAGTCCGTATAGTCCGTATAGCGAAATTTCCCAATTTCCCAGCTTGGAAATTAGGTGAGGACTTCTTTTACGGATGTCCGTATAGTCCGTATAGCGAAATTTCCCAATTTCCCAGCTTGGAAATTAAGTGAGGACTTCTTATACGGATGTCCGTATAGTCCGTATAGCGAAATTTCCCAATTTCCCAGCTTGGAAATTAAGTGAGGACTCCTTTTACGGATGTCCGTATAGTCCGTATAGTCCGTATAGCGAAATTTCCCAATTTCCCAGCTTGGAAATTAAGTGAGGACTCCTTTTACGGATGTCCGTATAGTCCGTATAGTCCGTATAGCGAAATTTCCCAATTTCCCAGCTTGGAAATTAGGTGAGGACTTCTTTTACGGATGTCCGTATAGTCCGTATAGCGAAATTTCCCAATTTCCCAGCTTGGAAATTAAGTGAGGACTTCTTATACGGATGTCCGTATAGTCCGTATAGCGAAATTTCCCAATTTCCCAGCTTGGAAATTAAGTGAGGACTCCTTTTACGGATGTCCGTATAGTCCGTATAGTCCGTATAGCGAAATTTCCCAATTTCCCAGCTTGGAAATTAAGTGAGGACTCCTTTTACGGATGTCCGTATAGTCCGTATAGTCCGTATAGCGAAATTTCCCAATTTCCCAGCTTGGAAATTAGGTGAGGACTTCTTTTACGGATGTCCGTATAGTCCGTATAGCGAAATTTCCCAATTTCCAAGCTTGGAAATTAAGTGAGGACTTCTTATACGGATGTCCGTATAGTCCGTATAGCGAAATTTCCCAATTTCCCAGCTTGGAAATTAAGTGAGGACTCCTTTTACGGATGTCCGTATAGTCCGTATAGTCCGTATAGCGAAATTTCCCAATTTCCCAGCTTGGAAATTAGGTGAGGACTTCTTTTACGGATGTCCGTATAGTCCGTATAGCGAAATTTCCCAATTTCCCAGCTTGGAAATTAAGTGAGGACTTCTTATACGGATGTCCGTATAGTCCGTATAGCGAAATTTCCCAATTTCCCAGCTTGGAAATTAAGTGAGGACTCCTTTTACGGATGTCCGTATAGTCCGTATAGCGAAATTTCCCAATTTCCCAGCTTGGAATTAGGTGAGGACTTCGGAATTTCCCAATTACTAATCGTGAAAATTGAACACGAAAAAAAATGTAGGGTTAAGAGAAATATATTTTTTGTTTCGGCGTCGCAGTGTAAGAGCGGTTTTTGTCTGGCGAGAAATCGAGCTATTTACCTATGTCTGAATGAGTGATTAGTGAGCAACTGCATCGTGTATGTCTATTGAAGAGTGAGTTCGTTTGGCTCCTCGTCTGTTGTTTTTAGCGTCAAATAGAAGGATGAATCATACGTAATAAAATGTTTTATGTAGTAAACTAGACGTACGATGATTTTCGTTTCTAACGCACTGCTCAAAGCAGTGGCTTTATGTGAAACTAAGCGATTAGCAGAAAAACAAAGAAGATACTGTTGTTCTTTCACATCAGTGACGGCGATCTCGAGAAGACTAGGCTTGATGCTCTATTATTTTTGTTGGAGAAACTACCATTGAGCAAATGTGCACATTCAATACTGGAATTGGGTGTCAAGTGGTGATCATTGGGTGTTTATTGAGATATCACGTTCAAATAGAAAACCGGCTTGTCTTATTCTCTAAACTTTGTTGCTTTGGTGTTCTGCTTTTCCATTAGTCCGTCAGATACATCCGATACACAAAGACAGGTTGATCAGTATACTGACACATATCACTTCAGAATGAAAGTTTGCATTGTTAGTATGTTATATTATTCTTTTTTTTCTTTTTCAGAGAGTCTCAATATCGAAAGAAATAAAACTCTCCAGATTGAAAGCATCAAGAACAAACAATTCCTTGAAAAAAATGTTGTTTTTCCACAGAAAACACGTTTCCAATAGCATTTCGAAGAACATCTTCGGAAACAGAGCATTGACTTGGATGCAAGATCTTTGCAAAATCTAACGAAATAAAAATGTGCAATCTTATTCAGGATACATATTAGTAATCTTACTAATAATAGCATTCTTTTCTCTATCGGGCATTCGCAAAACAGTCGTTTGGCTTCTGATATCAGCATTCAGATAGAGATGTTTAGCGAGAGCTCTAGAAGTTTTTGTTACGGAATTGTGTTTTTTAAATTGTTTTACTTCAGTTTTCGTTAGATCAAATTCTTTACGGAATTTCTCTGCTTTTATTTTCCTTTTATGCTGCTCTTTCGTTGTCTTTGTTGCAATCGGAGAAACGCAATCGAGATTCACAGTCATATCACGAAAGTATTCGGGTGCTGAACCATCGGCCTATAAGAATTACTATTTTTCCTATGACATTTGAACGAGTTCACTCACTTCGGCATACAATTCAATTGATAAAACTTCAATTGCTTTTTTAAATCATGAATCTTTCGAAAAAAGTGATTGTATGATAAAGTTATTGAATTTGAATATTTTTCTACCGAAGACTCTGTGAAGGAAAGCAAATTAATTTGAGATCAGAGAAAAACTACGTAAATAAAGGATTCCGTGAATATTTGTGGAATTTGAATTTTCACAATTCTCGTTAAAAATGACCATTTCTATCTATCGATTCATTGTATATTACCATCTCTCATCCGTTTTCGACTTATTATTATCGATTTTGGATATTGTATACATATCCAACAAAGAAATATTTTTTTCTTTTTTCAAAACAAACATGAAATTCGACTTTGATGCCTTCATCAACTAACCATAAAACTTTGAAGATTATCAGACTGTTCTCGTCGAATTTCTAGATGAACTAATTGTGTTCAATCATGCATACAGTCGTACTATAAAGCTCGCCCGAAAATAATGACGTCCATGTGAAATTCTTCATCAGGCGATGACGAAGTTATTGGTGATGATGTCCATTTCGATTTGTCCCATCTGCTGACATATTTAGTTATTGTTGATTGCGTGTGACCTGGTTCGGCATCATCTAAAATATCAAATATCAGTATATCTATCAAAGGTTCAAGACATCTATCGCATTAGTACTTACGTTCATTTTGACACGAAGGTTGATCGCATGTTTCATCGACATACAACATGTTACTGCTATCATCTGAGCTGAGAGGAGTTTCTTTCTCGTGTGTTTGACTCGATTTTGATGATTGGTCATCATCATTAACTAGCGAATCGTTTTTTTCACCTAAAACAAGAAATAACTTCTTTCAAACCCTATCAAAGTATTTGCTTGATCAATATTTTATATACTACTGACTAATAAAAATTTGTTCAAGAATTAAATTTAAAAACTGACCAACCTAGTGCATCAGCAAAGTGTTTCTGGATTAAAATTATTCGATGATGAACCTTGTGAGATATATCAATAGCTATTTGGCTATCTGCCATTTCCATTTTATCGACTTTTGTTCTTCTTGTCATCATTTTCAACGATAAACTCTATGTGAAACATAAAGATAAAAAAAGTTGCCATTTTAATCCAAACTGGTCTCTTAAATCGAAATCTTATAAATATTTGCTCAACAAACATGATCTGAACGATTTTCTATGTTAAAAGGAAATGATTCGTATTGGCGCTAATAATGGAGGCTATACATATTAACAGATGTCGTAAGAATTTAATTGGATCATTTTCAATCTAGCTATTTGTATGTTGAATTATATCAGAAATCAAGTTAAACTCGTCAAATATGACTGCAAAATAACTCCGGCTTTTGATATAAAGAGCCATTCTTGTTTTTTATAGTGAAAAAAATCACATCGTCACGTAAAATGCGCTTCACCATAGATTATTTCTGCTTGAGCAATAATACAACGTGAATACATGTAGGGGTTATGTTCAATAAATTCAACCGTAACATTCACAAACGGATAAAACTCTGTTCTTATTTTATCTCATTTCCTCAATTGAATCGTCCCAGAATAATCTACCATCTATCAACAACAGTTCAAAATCAACACTTACAATGCATTATAATGCATTAAACATTCTTTTCAATATGCAGTGTACACCATCACAAGACTGAATATTACACCGCAAGTCTTCATTGCTGCGCGAAAGCATCACCGCTCTATGACACACTTTTCTTTTACTCAGCAATCGATAAACGAATAATTCACCTGTATCGAAATATTAAAGAGCAAAAAGATTGTAATTTATCTATCATTTGGAAATATATTCGCGTACAGCTTCATCCATCATAATGTGTGTCATCGTATAGCAACTCATTTCACTGCGAGATGATGTACATAAAAGATAAAATTTTAGTTGTAAATTACAATCGGGAACAATTTCATATACAACCAGAACAGAGATTTGAGAGTCTATATGATAAGTGAAATCTATCACGTTCCATCAATACTCAAAGCGATTGGATACTGAAGATAACACGACGTTAACAAGAAGGAACATGGTTGTGCTTGAAATATTCGAAGTTGCTTTTCCTTCTTACCAAAAAAGCTTTCTCGACCATCACTAATAATATGAAGCAAAATGATTCCTTTGTTTATTCCTTGTAAATGGTCAGACTGATCATGAATCATCATTTTCAGACATGTCACTTTCACTGAAGACTACAAGATGATTCACTCGTATTTGACTTCATGTAGTTTATTCACATAGAACTAACGGCAATTCTTTATCTTTACTCGCCTAAGACTCACAGGAAATTTTATTCTATTTGTGTTTAATCTTATAATTATTACATTGTTTCATTTTGTACTTTCTTACTGTTTTCGCTTTGTAAAGGATAAAATCAGCGTTATCACGTAGACTATCGCTATGAACATGACATTTTCTTTGCGCAGATCTGCTCCTAAAGCATCGGATGTGTGGTATATGTTTTCGTCCAATCGTTTCATTGATCCATTTTTCACAAAGAATTCGCGTCGTTAATGTTTAAGACAATTCTATATCATAGTTGTCTACAGAACTCTTATGGATAGCAATTCTCGAATATTTGAGATTCCCTTTATCTTTGGTCGGTGTGGCACCAATAATTTCTAAGACAAATAGAATTCCAGTTTTTCAATCATATTCTTTTCCGTTAAGCAAAGAATCGATCTCTTTACATTTCATGCATTTTGTGTAAAAACATATTCTAAGTCACAATCTGTTGATATTTGTCAGAAACGATACCAGTGTAGATTTGTGAAGCGAATTTTAAGGAGCACCTGATTGTAAAACACATCTTTCTTTTCTTCGACACACTAAAGTAGAAAAATATCGTGCATTAATCGTGCAGGATTGGATTAACAACATGTTAATCCATAAAAATATGTAGCCTAATCTTTGTTCAATGTTGTTCTGAAATGACAAATACTTTCTGCTACATCTATACTAATTTAAACACCGGATTTTGCTTCTGTTGAGCTAAAGCTTATCCAAAAGTTGTTTGTTTCAACGTAATAGTTCGTCTCTTGGTGACCGCTATAATATAATCCAATTATAATGCATGATAATGTGTGATAATGCATGATAATGTGTGATAATGCATGATAATGTGTGATAATGATTCGAATATAACCAATACTGGTCGTGTAGAATGTGCTGAAATTCAATAAGAATAATCATCTATACAAGATATGTCGGTTAGTGATTCACAAATAGATCGGAAAGACGCATGCAAATACTGTGAAGGAACATCAATCATGAAGTTATGACCAGGCACCCGAAATCTGTATACTAGTATATTTTGATGTAATAATGCAACATCCGATCTCTTATAAACTTTTCGGTGCCCTGGCGTCAGAGTCAGTTTCATGAACAACAGTACCAGAAAAAGCGACTTTCGAGAGCATGTTATTTTGCTTTAGTTTATTTTTGCAGCATTTCAGTATTCCACAACGAAGTTATTACGCATTTTCCGGAGTTCTTATGAAGTAAAAGAGGTAGCCTATTACACGGAAGAAATGAATACAAAAAATTGCACCGGTAGATGAAAAAAGAAAAAAAATTAAAATTAAAAGTAAAAGTAACAATGAGCAAAAGCTAACAGTGTCGTTTAACAAATGTTAGTAATAATAATGAATAATAGTTAAAACGCATCGAACTGAGAAAACAAAAGTAGAAGAGTTTTTACAGAATGAAATGATTTCACAGGTCACACGGAATCAAGAAAGCAATATAAAATCTTTGTGATATGAGAAAAGACGAAAACTGCATATGTACATGGAATCAATGAATCATTGATTAATTCTCGGTTATTCTATGGCGAATAACGCTGTTTTGGTTTCCGATCACGTTTGCCTCTTATAGGCGGAGCTATAAGGAAGAAAAATTCAATGACCGAGGAACTCAACAATATTATTACATACTGTTATTCTCTTGCATGACTGCCGATGGATCAAGTGTTACACGCTCGTTAAGAAAATCATTCTTCCCGATAAAATCGACCAACACACTTGAAAACAACCATGTTTTGTGTTTGACATCGGCAGCAGTAAGCATACGAGGAAAAACATCGGTCTTGTTCTTCTTGAATGATTCTTCATAATCATTATAATGCATCTTATATTTTGCCAACGTGCGAGCAAAATCAAGTTGATCTTGTGGATTCTTTCTTGGGAGTGTCTTCAAAAAGCCCGGCAAAAGCTCGACAGTGCCATCTGCCTTCTTGCTGGCAAACCAATTGGCTTTGACTAATAATCCATCTGTAACTAAGTTGGTAAGTATATGCTCACGTGACTTGTTAATGTTTCTTATGTGTTTCAGTTTGCTGCAAACGTCCGATCGTGACATAACAATGGTATCACTTAGAATTATCTTCTGATAGGCTTCTTGAAGATCTTCATCGTCAACTTGATTATCGCCTAGAAAAACAATTAACAAGTCTTTAAATAGAAGTATCGATGATTTGGAGCTGACATCATTCAAAATAGGACTATATTTACTGAGGTGTCTACTTCCTTGTTTCAAAATGTCTCAAAAATAAGAGAACTATGACTTACTATCGGTAGTGTTTGATTCTGTCGGAGCAGATGCCGATGAAAGTGTACCACTTAAATTCATATCAATGAACGGTGCCGTGACTTCTTCACTTTCATTATTTCTCGATCGCTTCGGGGAAGCATCATTGTTTTCTTCATCCAATATTCTCTTTAACAAGTGTTTCTTATTCTGAAGCAAAGTCGAGAGTAATTCCAATGTTTGTTGAGAACTCATATTGTTCAACAATATGGTCGTATCGTTTGCTGTCGGTTCAGCAGGTAAAAGAGTATCATTGTTGTTGATGACACTGCCAGGTAATAGTTCGATATTGGATAATACCGGTCGATCTAAACGTGATGACAAAAAAGATAGATTTACTTCGACTCAAAAGTGTCATCTTACATTGGTTCTGCTCATCAGTACTTGCTTTTGATTTATTTTGATAAGACACTCGGTCGTCATCAATCTTGTTCGTTGTCATTGGTATTGGATCTGGAAATCATACAGTATTATGCGGTTCGAATAAAATCTTGGTTTATAATGAAAACTTACTTGGCTGTTCGACATCTAATGGCTCGTAATCGAGCATGTTTGTTAATCGGCTCATAATATCATCAACTGATGGTAAAAATTCGTACTGAAGGCGAGCATCGCATCCTGTTGTTCGCTCGACAAAGCTGTTGTATTGTGGTGCAGTAGTAATATTCGTGTTCAAAATTTCCGATAAAACAGAAGAGTTTTCAGAACGAGCTGATGTCGTGATTGGCGATGAATTATTAATTCGTCGATCTGATTCGAAAATTAAAGTTGCCAATACGTCATCACCATTATTATTAGTTGGTGTTTGATCAGCATCGTACGGTTGACTATTTTCAACATTGAAATTATCTATACGTCACAAAGGATTCGCTTAAATAAGAACTGCATTCATTTTCAAAAAGTTCAAGTTTACCATGTTCAACAGTTTGAGACATCGATGGTACGTAGTATTGTCTTCGACCCAATGACATCCTGTATTGCACCACTTGTTTTGACAGTCGTTCTTCCATTTCTTTTTGTATACGAGCATCGTTGAATAAATGGCAATATTCAACATAATCATCATTGAACAGAATTGAATTCACAGTAAATGTAGTTAATTCCATATTCATTGGTAACGGCGACGAAAGATAAACATGTTCATAAGTATCGATATCGACACCAATCGATTGAAGGTAAGTCAGCATGTCGACATTGCCACGAATAGTTGCTGGTGATGCTTTTAAATACGTTTCTTTTCGTGCACCAACAATATGTCGAGTATTCTGGAAGCCTTTTCGCAGAATATCATGATGAATCAAGTCATTAACAGCTCGAATAAGTTTTGCCGTTTTGTTTTTCGATTTTCGATAGTTACTAAATGTTTTGGTGAATGGAAGACCAGTTATTTCATTACTGAACCAGGCTTTGACAAGAATGGGCGATGTCATTGCCAATAATATGGATTGATGTTCATAAAAAGCACTAAAATAAAATACAAGTTTCGATTAGGTATTCTTATCAAAAAGAACTTGATTAAACCAATGCTGTTAGGAAATGACTTTCTATAAGTGGACTATGAATGAATAAAATATCTAATCGCGATTTAGTCAAGTATGCGGCGTCGTTAAAAGGTCAATTTGGACAAGAACCAACTTAGATGGAGACGATGAGCAGCAAAGAAATCAATAACCCTACCACTCTTCTCAAGCAATATTCTAACTCATTACCGAAACGTACCACTCACGACACTAGTAAGAAAATATGTGAATTCTAAATGGATATCCTGAAAGAAGTACTGAATATAACTTACTCTGTAGATGATTCATTAGTAATCGAAATATTGTTGTCACTTTTCGTTGTAACATTGTTATTCATTGATGTTCCGTCGAAAAGAGCTGTACTTGTCGATGAAGTATATTGGTAAAGCAAATTCGAAGCATGTACGGCTGGTTTTTCAATGACAAATAATGGACGCTGATCACTTCCAAATTTCGGAGCCATTGCAACGTCTCGTTCGATCAGTACTTTGACTGTATCATGAAATTTCATTAGCCAGCTAGTTTGTTCGTCGTCGATATACTCTTTGAGATAAAGGCCATCACCGAATCGAACTATGTTAATACATTCAAAACATAATTGAATGGTATACGACATCGCTTGACACAATCCGGCTAAACGGGCTAATTTATTGCTGCTCTTTCGTTGAAATGCCCGTTGTAAAGGTGTATAAATCGGATTGCCCTTCGTATCACATTGCAACGATTTTTGATGTTCAGCTTCAATAATACGTCGAATGGCATTGTACGGAGATATTACTGATCCATCTTGTTCCACATCAGCTTCTTGGATGTCAACAGTCACACTCGGCTTTATATTCGATATGGGTTCAGTTGTTGGAATTGGATTCACCACATTTTTTCTTGCTTCTTCTATATCCGGTGGAATAATGACTAGAAAGGAAAGGAAATAGAGATGTGTATGTGGAGTGGCAAATAACGGAAAATAATGTGAAAATGCAGTTCTTTCAGATATTAACGGAACAGTGATGTTATGCGACGGATTCAATGACAACACAAAGAATTTACAGACTGATGATTCGTCTCTATCACCGAATCTCATACTACAGATCATCAGAGCTACATAAACAACGAGTAAAATTACTTCTTTACGTCTGTTAACATCTTTAGGCTGAACTTCTATCAACTGTTCGCTGAATTAATTATCGAATGACACATGAATTACAAGGAAACTTACTTGGTTGTGGTGAACTAATTGGAGATTGATGTTGAGCAAATACGAATATCGGCTTGTGTTCTGCCAAAAGGCGAAGTACGATTAAAATGTGTACGATATTCGGTTGTACAGACAGAATTTCAGTTGGTAGGTCGTTTGAAGCTTTGTACACAGATGTTGTGATGAATAAATACCGACTGATGGTACCGTCGGACTGAACATTACTGTTGTACTGTCGACATACAGATGATAACATGCTTCCTGTCGATGCTCCAAAGATGTTGATGGAGCCCCGTTTCACAAAGTATGACGAAGATCCAGTTGTACGAGAAACATTCTTCACGATATCGTAACCTTGACATAAAAGTTTAGAGCCAAATGTTTTCATATCATTGTCCGTCGAGCCAGCTTGATACACTCCAAATCGAGTATTAATAACATCAAGTTCGTCGCTTGAAATAAATACATTCTCCTAAAACGAAGAGAATGTGAAAATTTTATATGCGCACTCTCTACAAAGTTAGTCTCGGCCGTTTCTATGGCTCTCATTTCGAACTTAACACTCATAAGATCTTACGCTTATGACTTACTCGTTTGGAGAGTCCTTGAAATAACGATAGTTCTGTATCGTTGTTTGCTATTAAATCAACCGTACTTAGTACTTCTTTGCCGTTGATAAGTTCGGCAATAGGTTTCGAGAAAAATGAAGGAAATATTTTCTCCAATGCATTGATGCTATTGTTGAACACTCGAAATAATCCAGATTTATTTGTGCCTAAAGAAGTCAATACAAAATAGATAATCCATCAAAGAAATAAGAAAAATTTACCTGGTTCACCAATCAAATGAATAAATAAATTCATCGACGAAATACTACCGGTGCCATCAGGATTGAAAACTTCCACTCCATCAAGCATCATAGCGGCATGTCCGAGCATCCCAAATACGAATGGAGCGATATCAACTCCTAATGTTTGATGTTGTTCGAAGAAACGAAGTAATGCTACTTGATTGAATGAACCGAAAATCGATGTAATTTCAAATGGAATTGGTGAAGAATTGGTCAGTTTGAAAATGTTTGAACTAATTTTCGCTGCATATGGTTCCAGTTTATTAGGTGCCATGTCTAAAAAAATAACAAGCATAGATTCGTGATTCATAAAGAATAAGCTGACAGCAACACAAAGTTAAACTGCACATGATTTAACTCCGAAGCCTCCTTATTTCGTAGTGCCTGGAAAACTTTGCCATGTTACAGATCAAAACTTTAATACTCACTTTCAATAACAATTTCCTTGAGAAAACACTGACCAGATAACAGCAAATTGAACGTGATAAATGTAGAACTTTTGAGCCCAAGAGACAACCTAAAACAGCATACGATATTACATATTGCAGAACATTCTCGATACTTACTTGCTGTTTTAATTCAAGAGGGAAGAATGAATTGTACGCTTTCAATGGTTCAATTCGTTACGAGTTTCTTGCTGTATAGTTTGATGAGAATCTTTCTTCGAAAATCAGAATTTCAAATCTAGAAAAGAAGCAAAAAGAAAAGACGTCTGTTCTGTATATGTATTGTATACAAGTAAGTAAGTCTTTTGAATGCACAATCTTGTGATAACTCCTGCAGAAAAAGATTTTCAAACAAGCGTTAAGAAAAACTTTGTTTTCTTATCACCAAATTATTTCAATGTGACTGTCCTTACGCTTATGGAATCGTGGTAGGCGGTCACATGCATACATACATACAGAACGTCCATCACGTATATTGAACGAACAGAACGCAAAAGAATGAACGTATATCTGATATGTGTATGGACTGAACGAGAAGGAAAGAAAAGAAAAGCCTGTCCACACACGTGTTAGATCTTCACTGTTTGTTCTTCGCTGTTATCGTAATGCAATTTGATCCATTATTATGTGATGTAATGCATTTTCATGTATTGTAATGCAGTTTAATGCATTTTCATGTATTGTAATGCAGTTTAATGCATTATCACGTATTGTAAGGTATTGAATGATACAGCTAGAGAAGTGTAGTTTATATGAATTGAGCAAGTAAACAGGAAGTAGTGTCGGAATGAAACAAATTCCGAACTTTTTAGTTGCTCTTATTTCTACGAGGAAATGGAAATAAAATGACGCCATTGATAAAGTTTAATTTCTGTTGATTTGTACTTCAATCGAACAATTCTATTGGAGCTTTACAAAGATAAAACGACAATTTTTGTACTAGTTTATAATAAACATTTATCTTACAGATTAGACTAAGGTCACAAATATCGATGCATATCGATAATTGATTATCAATTTGGCACAGGAATATCGTTCATGTACGACTATTCGACTATAAATATTAACGAATATCGCGATAAATATTTCACCCGAAAAAAATTAGCTTTTTCTTTCAAATGCTGTATCATTTCTAATTTGTATCTGGAAGCAATGAACTTTACAAAAAAGAACTATTGTTAATGAATAGTGAGTCCGTTTACGAATGGTTTCCATACTTATACAATATCCAAAAGCCTCTTTGAATAAAATAATGATTTCATGTCAACGCATTATAATGCTTTATAATGTAATGATAAAGTTCGTTGGTGAAAAATTATGCTGCATGTATTTTTATACATTCTACTTTGAATTACATTGATAGTCAATGAACAAAAGTGATACTCGAGATTTTACATCAAACAGACTTTTCAATAAAATGGTATCCATAGATGCGTTAATTTTTGTAAGTGATGTATAATTATTTATTTGTATTTTTTATTTCGAAGGAAAATACGTTAAGGTCGTAGTTGATATGTCATGAAATTCAATTCCCAGGCATAAAAGAAAATTTCTATTTGAAAACGATCTTTGTGTCATTATAGTTTACTGTACGTTTGAAGGGTTAATTCCTATAGTAAATCAGGGTATTTTGTTGAAAATGACAATATATTTGCCATTTCGAAAGAAAAGAAACGGACGGAGAAGAACAGAAAGAGAAAGAAACGTGTTATAGTCTAGCGTATTGAACCGTTGGATAGTTCAAACAGAACATCGAATTGTGACTTGTTAATAACGTGAAGGACTACACTCTTGTCATATTCACACCATCATCAACTTTCAACTCATCGATATAAAACAAATCGTTTAATCAACCAGACAACATCCAAACTCTACGGGACAATTAAGGCAAGTGTAGATACAAAGAGAAGATGGCTTTTGTGTCGATCGAATTCTTGGATAATACTGTAATGAATGTAATTGGTTTTTGAACAATATTCGTTTGTATTCAGTACTAACAGAAGCAGCTACTCTACTTATCTTTGTGGAAATCAGAAAAAATTCGATCGGTGTGATCTGCAGAATAACGAAGCATCTGATACCTGTATATTAGTGTCCTGTAATAGTTCATTCTATCGATGAAAGCGCAAATAAAAAGCTTAAATGTAAAAGCATCGTAAAAGCCCATGCATGATAGATAATCAACCCTTTCGATCTGACAGACAAACAAGGGTGGCAACATTGTTTTGAAATGTTCACAGTATTAACCAAAATAGATAATCTCTTCACGTAATCAATTTGAAATATTTATTACAAGTTGTTTATTGTTTTAGATGCCAAACGACGAAGATATTCTTGAAAAACTTCGTTCTTCAATTGGTTTAATAGCTCTAGTCTACATCTGTCGACTGTATACCAAACTGTCGATTTTTCCATCGATAATTTTACCATCTACTGCTCGGACGCATCTGATAAAACAAGCACTAAATGATCGTTACCATACTAGTCATACAACCGAAGATATTATGCTGGTGACCAACATGATCGAACTAAACAAAGATCTTATTAATCGAGTACTGCTATTGTCGGATTTTGAACAAAGTACGATCAGGTTAGATGTAAATCATATTACAATGGATGTTTTAAATGATTTAATCTTATCTCCATTCACCAACATATGTTTGAATTGCAAAAAATCGCTTACATCATATCGATCCAAGTTCATTCATATTATCGATTGTTTTAAAATCATTCGAGCCGTAGCTGTAACTGCTGAGTGTAAAACATGCACGCTAATTTACAACCATTCGTCTTGGTACTCACTGAAGAATCGATGGCGAAAGATCAACACTTCATCGTTGAATAGTGTACACAAAGTGTTCTATCTGTGTGATTCGCTCGCATTTACGTATTCGGTTTTCTTCGATTATACATGTCAACTTCTACACAATCAATGTCCATTTCAATCTTTTTCTCGAATTCTTATCGATAGATACAATTATGAAGACCAAAACAGCAATATTATTCTTCAGCCTATTCCATTAGCGAAATTATTCCAATGCCATTGGTTATTATATCAAATTGTACGTTTTGAGTTCATGTTAGGACGAACTCAAATAGTTAATTTACCGGTCTCACTTAATCGAAATGAACTTAATTGTCATTTTGAATGTTATTCTGGTTGGTGGTATCATCTGTTCACTACATTTTGGTCTAGACATAAGTCAATTCCAAATGTGAAATGTTCTTCATCAGATTGTAGTCGATGCATTATTGTGGATGGCCATCAGAAATGTCGACGATTAGTATGTAGTTACAAAAACGTTGTGGATATTTCCATTGAAGAAATGACTGCAATTGAAATTGGTTGCCCATATACACCTTGCCGAAGAGTGCATTCGTCGAATTCTGGTACGCATAGAATTGTTCGTTGCTGTCATTTATATGGTTTTATTTTAGTTGATGCGATTTATTGTCGGTACCATCAACCCTCGGTTCTTCTATCGCCGTCTCTTAGTTTACAAAAAGCTGGTGGCATGGCTGCTGAATTCTCGGTAATATGGTTTTCTTAACTAAGTCATTTTCAGAGCCTGACTGTCGGGCCTATTGAGTATATGAATAATTGGAGAGATATCCTATTATGGAGTGGTTATGAAGCCAGTACTATTTATTGTTTGCTAAGCAAGTTTGCAAAGCAAACTCTAACGATATGTAAATGGTTTGTGCGCATGAGCATAGGCACATGTATTCCTAGTCAATGCAAGGTTGACAACTGTCATTCGTTGAAAAAAGCTGTATGCTAGAAATCATAGTAAACAAATAAAATATTGTACTTACGAATGAAGAGAACGAATCACACAGATAACTATGTAAAAGTAATTCATCCAATAATTTGATCTACTCGAAATTTTCACACACGCGTTCTCTATCCCGCATAGGATAATATTTTATCCTTGTTTCGTTGATCGAATGGGATAAGTGTACTCTTTTTTTGTGTTTTCAGAAACGGGATAGAGATTTTCTATCGGAACATAAAGTCCAATGCCAAAATTATCGAAATGATAGTGAAGAAATAATAAAGAACAAAACTTATGGCATATTAGCCTCGTATCATCCATGTGGAGTTGCAGTTGGATTTACAGAAGCGATCAAAGCTGAGGGTATGTCAGTTCAAAAGGTGTTTCAAAACGACAGTACTAACGATTTTGAGTTAGACTTTTTGCAAGATTTTGTCAAAGAAAATTCTGATTTATGATATTTTTCTGGATAGGGATGCGATCGGTGACTCGTCACCTTTTACTCATGATCATTGGTGGTTGTCTTATGCCAGATGCACTGATGTATGATTGCGCCTGCGCATTGAAGCTGCATTGGAATAAGTGGTTAGGTACTGATATGTTGAAGACATCGACAATAACACAACAGCTTCCAGTTCATCTTGCTCTCGATAACTTTCATCAAAAGACACATTCTCGGCCGATGTGCCAAACCATCATGAAATCAGACCACCCATCGCATGAGGGACGATTTGTTGGTTTAAACAGTCAAGCAGCTGAACAAGCATTCCAATACATAGCACGTGCCAAATTTGCACTACGAAATTTTTCATATCCACATTCAACAGTGATGCTTTTGATCATGCTGCATATGTTAAACTGTAAAGTAACTGGCATCAATTCAGAAACAACTGGTTTGGGACCTTTACACTTTGGTGACATAATCAAAGGCTTTTTCGCCACACCATGCGTGTATGAACGATTCGGGACGTTGAATGGTGAAGAAATGAATAAAGACGAGGACGACGACGATCAGCCAGATCTGGATCACACTGTTACGTCGGAAGATATAACATAGTTGTTTACATTATTCTGTCACAAATAATATCCTATCGATCATTTGAAGATTTGTTTCCGGCATAACTATAATTTCAGTTGTATATTGTCCTCTCATTGGCTTTATTCTATATCTGTTACCTAGAAATTGAAAATAAACATATGGCTCGAACAGAAATATTAGATTGTTGACGAATTTGTTTAATGCACTATAATGCATTACCAATAAGAAATGTTGGAATGTCCACTACTGGTAATAATAATGATCTTGTCTTGTATTGGCTGACACGATTCACCCATGCTTCATTAGTCATATACTTTGATGTTCGATAATTTGTTCGATTTTTTAAAATGCATAGCCCATGAACAATCAATACAAACGTGACTTTTTTCTGCGTCAAGAAACCTACATTACAAAAAGATCAATTCGCCATGAAAGCCATATTTAATTGTGAAGAAAACTAGTACCTGTGTATATGGCGCGTTCATTGTACGCTTCCAATTTCTTGATGATATTTGAGAGTGCGTTTTGATGGTTCAAGGACATGGTATTAAATCTATAACACATTTAAAAATATGTCTATTATGGTGTCGATTGATAATCAACATACTTTTCTATGTCCAAATATTCCCAATTCGTATAGCATTAGTACTGATCCTTTTCGTAATGGTACAGCGTATATATCTGTAATGTCAAATGTGTACATAATCATTTGGTATGTTGTTGTAAATTCTTCGAAAAGTTTCAACAAAGTAGTTGGATTTGAACTCAAGTATGAAATGTGTCAATCGAAGATTGGAGTGCATGCTTTTGTGAAAAAAGCTAGAAATTTTGCAAGGCAAGACTTATCATACTCACTATCAGCCTAATTGACTGATTGATTTTATGATTCTTTTGATTGCATGAAGTGGAGGGTAGTTACGTACATATCTGTTGATGGGTGTCACTCTCTATCTGATAGATTTTCAAATAATGTCTTGCTTGAAGCTAACACTTCCGTAAATACTTCTATGTTCTTTCTATTATTTCTCTGAGCGATGACGATTTCAATTCTATGTATGAGTTTGTCTGATTTATATATAGATATATGCCTAATTGCTTCCTGTGGATCTTTCCTCCATTCACGTAGAATACTTCTGCTGTAGCGGTCCGTCGACAAACATTTTTTGTTTCTTTTTTTTCACAAAAAATTTTTTATATTCAGTTTCAATGTGAGAAATTTTCCCGACTCTTTTTCTACTATTTCTCTTCTTTTTTTCTTAAACTTTTACAAAACTTATTTAGTAGTCTCTTCTTTCGCTTTATAGTATTCGTTACTTGTCCGCATGCTTCAGAAATCGTGTCTTTTATTCGTTTAAGCTCATTCGGAAGATGATCATCGGTTCGTCATAATCTAATTGAGAGAAAGAAATCTTATGATTGATAACAAACCTAATAAATAACAACGAGTATTCAACAAGAAATGATATTCTGTAGTGTAAAAGTTAGAGATAACTTTTTCTTCGGAGAAAGAATAGAAGAAAACATCTTTTATCTGTTCAATCTTTAGTTTAGTATTCTGTTTAGTATTCATCAGTTGAAGCAGAATCATACGATGATGAAGATTTGGAGACTTCTGCATTGATAAATGGCCAAATTATTTTCAGGTCTGACTTATTAGTTCAATTCCATTCTTCATTTATGTTATATCGGAATAAAATGCATTTTAATGCGTTAAAGTAGGTTTAAGTGCATTGAACACTGAGACAGATAGATGATTAATTCCTAGTTGATTTTTTTTCTTCTTTATACCTGGATACTTCGATACAAATCGATCACTCCTTCATACATTCAGCATTGATCAGGAAAAATTGCTTATTGGAGTTACCGTTCTGTTGTGTAACAGACAAACGTCATGTTTAATTATGAACCTGTTGGCTTGACCTTTGATAATTGATAACACTCTAATGTTGTTCTATCTTTTCTTTCGACTCTAGTTGATGAATCAACAAATATTTAAACAAGAGCATAAAATACTAATGAAAAATAAAAACAAGCATTGATTATGGTCTATTGAATTACTGATGTGTTCAAATTAATCGGAAAATTTCTCACTTATTCATTTTTTAATACATATTTTTGATCTATACATAACGTGATATACTTTAGGATTATGAGTGTTGTGGTACTTTCTTTATAACAAGAGACAACACATGACTTGAAATAGATATTGAAATCATATTGCAATTATATCTGTCTGCTTTAGTTCGATTAATATCAAATATTAACATCGATCAATTGTGTAAGCAATCGTTACACAATACGTATGCTTACGACATCTGTTTACATTATTGCCTCCTTCTCTTTGCGCCAATGCGAAATTTATCCTTTTGAACATGTAATGCAATATATTGTATTATTCGTTCAAATTCCGTTTCTTTGGGAATTTATTTCGACAACTCGTGTTTGTGAAATGGATTTTATTTTAACGACCGATTTATATAACAGCATGTTTTAGATACACATTTGTTTATCATGTTAACGAGGAACAGAAAATCTGACGACTTGACAGAGTCAAATGGTCATAAACTCATCAATAAATCGCACAAGGTCCATCATCGAATAATTCTAGTTCGAAAACATTGTTTGGAAGTACAAGGTTTGTCAAAATTTTTCTTTCTGATATTCAAATAATTTATGAGTTGAGAGTATATTAAATACTGATAATATTTCTAAATTAAGAATCTGAAAAGAAGATTTGTATCTTTTTAAGGTGAAAATGTTGCATCATCAAGTGATGATGATATTCAAACACGAAAATCTTCTCGAATGGCTGCAAAAGAGATCTCTTCTGATTCAAATGAGAATAATGGCACATTATATATTGATGAAAATTCGAATCGATCGTCCTGTTCATTTCAAGGTAAGCACTGACGAAAGATACCTGGAGCTTTAATGGATTTTTTACTTCAAGCATTAGATAATTTACCAGGTGTAACAAATTCATCGATAACGATCACTCGGAAATGCGATAAAGCGACTTCCATGTCAGCATCAGATAGTTCGTCTTCATCGGATGATGAAAAATTAACTTCACCAGCAGGTATTGATAAGATTTTTTTCGTTGAATACAAAGATTTTGACTTAAATAAGAGAATAAGTTCGCGTTCATTTCGTTCGTTTTCAAATAAAGATCCAGTAAAATTACATGCATGAATAAATCAATGATTCATTGAACGGTTAGAATTGAAAAGATTTGGTTTTTAATAACGAATAATTGATAACATTTGAAGTGACAATACCGTTGAAAAACAATGATATTGTTTAATAGCGATGTTATGAATTGTAAAAATGGTTGAAACATTTTTTACAAAATATCCTTGTACCTCTAAATATATTAATAACTATATCAATCGAATTGTAAAAGGTCAGATTCGAAGAATATTTGTCACGATTTGAAATAATTCACGACACTCCGATTGAACGTATATTGAGTTGAATTGTTTCATTTCTAGAATCTTCCGAAGAAGATGTTGAAATTTCAACGCACCAATCATACCATCAACTTGTTCAAGAAAATCTCCGTTTAAAAAAGAAACTGAAATTTTACCAACTGAATTATATTCCAAGGTAAATTGACTAATTGAATAACTTGTGAAAGCTGTTTTTAATAGGCCAACTACTTCATCAATAAAGCATGTTCGTGGAGTTCGTGGTATCTTCGATACTGATCCATCGACTATGAAAAGGAAAGAGAAGAAATTTCGTGAAAAATTTAATATCACAAAAAGTGATATCAATGCATGGAAACGAAGAGGTTCTATAACAAAGACTTGTCGCGATCTAGTCAAACATCTTTATCCTTCGCGTGATGTTCAACGCTCAATGGCAATTTCAAAAATGTCGAAGAAACAGAAAAATGAAATAGTCGGTAAGAGAAATAATTGTTATCTAAAGTAAAACAAGCATCCTGTTTTTCTTAGAATTTGCACGGGTCATTCATCTCGATCAACGAGATATTTCTGATGGGTTGCTTCGAAATGCTATGGGAAATGTATTTTCTTCCGAAAAACATAAAAAAGACAAAGCTTGAAAACAAAGCCACAATTTCCGCAGAAAGAGTTTTATTTTCTAGGTTAGATTTTCCTTGAAAATATCCGTATTTTTCTATTACAAGTGTATCAAATAAAACACATCTATATCATCACATTTGCATAATTCACACCCAGCAACTCTCAATAATGAGATTACCTATCTAATCAGTCTAACTACATATTTCATTCATACTTCAGTTTCAATAAATACCTTCAATATTAATCGGCACAGTATCGAATCCATCGCAACTAAAATAAATACTTCAATCTGACATCTTATTCACCACGACGAAATCAATGACAAAATATTCAATGGTTAGGTCAATACTCGAAAGATCATTATCAGTTCTACCAAAAACTTATGTAACAACAACGGCGATATGACAGAGGAAATCATATCATTTTGCAATAATTCGAATAGAATGCCAATGTTGTTTTAAACGAATGAGATTGAGAGGTGCATATGAGAATATTACAAATCGTCAAAATTTTCTTGAAATTAAACGTAAGGAATTAGAAGATGATTGTCAGGAAAAACTACGAACATCATTCGGCAAACGATTATGAGATGAAGTAGTGAGTTTTGTGAGAAATATTATTGAGAAAACAATTGAAAATAAGAATGAGAATGATGAAAAGCTACTACAAAATATTCAACTCGATGAATTTAGAGAATAAGCAACAATAGATATTAGATAAAAACATCAATGACAGAGCAACAATACATAAGGAATTTACAACAGAAATACAAAAGAATCTTGAATTACAATATGATAAATTAGAGGTAAGATTTGTAGTTAATATGCCACCATCATGAAATACAATATACAGATTAGAGTTTTATGCAAAAGGAGCTAAATCATACACAAGAATCAGCTGAAATTAATTCAAGAACGATGAAAAAATACATCGACTAAGACGAGATCCGATTTAACCGTATAAATGAGAGAAGCAAAAAGTAGTTGAGATAAAAGAAACTACCAAAAAATACAATGAGTTATTAGATAAATTATCGAATCATCGTCGGGAATCATATAATAAAAGTCGATTATGTAGTAAAAACGAGACATAGTCGATTTGCGAAAAAGAAATTGAATTTTTTGGTGAAAAGGGTGTGTACAACGAGTGAAAATCAGTACATGCCCTTACACATAATCATGCAGCTAGTATGAGAACAAAACTACATCCACATCATAGTAAGATTAGGTTTCCATCACAAGCAAATAATAGAGCATTGATAACGAACGAGATAGAGAACAGAATACCTAATTTAGGACCAAAATTTGTACCAGTGCCTGCACAACAAGTATTAGCATGATTACCAGTTGAGATTGATTAAATGAAGGATAGAGTAGGAGTAGCATGGAGAAAAGCTACGCAAACAATAGGACGAGTACTACTTTTAGCGAATAGATTTTGTCTATGAGTAGAAGAAGAAACAAGAAAAATATATCGACAGAAAATTTAAAAGATTCAGCATTAGGTTTTACTATGAAATATTTTCGGAGAACACAAACACGGAAGAAAATCATCTTTCGACAAACAGGTAACTCAAAAGTATTTCATACAGATACGTGTGGCAATCCTAAACAGAAATCAACTGGATATATGAGTAAGACAAATGCATACATTGAGTCAGAAATATCACCATTAAAACAAATGATTTAAAAAAACGGATATATTCTTATGATATTCAGTCTCGAAAAAACAAATACTCCAAGCGTTAATGGAAAAACTGAGACCATCAATGACAGAATCTGAATTACCTTATTTATATTTTAATCCAAAAGATCATAAGATAGAAGAACCAATTTGACCAACACTAAGCGAAATCAAATCATCATGAGCAAAATAGCTAGTTTTCTTGATAAAAAGATAACGCCACTCTTCGATAGACGTACATCATATGCAAGAGCAAAATTCTCTCATATTAATTACTAAAACAATGGGAAAACTATGAAACATCTAATGAAACAAAAATCTACACATTGGATATAATTGATCTTTACACAATGATACTGCAGAGGGAAGCAAAATAAATTGTATGGGAATTCTTAGGTGAATATCGATGTAGAAAATAGTTAATCTATCAATCAATATAATAAAGGAATCATTGTCACATACACAGGAGAATTTATATTTTGTTCTTCAATTACCAGCAGAAGCAGCTAAATATTATCGACAAGCTAGAGAAGAAGCTATGGAATCAGCCTTTACCTTAAGTGTTAGCCGATATATATCTATGTGTGTGTGTGTGTGTATTAGAAAATGGGAGAATAAACTAGTTCAAGAACAATAGAATCAACAAGAACTATATTTTCGATCTAGAGATTATGTTTTCTTAGCAATGAAGTTATTAACAGAAAGAATAGAAGACGTATTAGAGAAATTGAATAGATCAAAACAGATCAGAATCTAAAAATACAAAAAGAAGGAGAAAAATCGGAAGGCTATCTCCACGTTACAACAAGCGTAGAAAATTCGGATTTTAAAACAAGAGGATATCGGAAAATAATGGCACAACGGTGTTTTACCATATTATTGAACGTGTTTTCAACATATTGAGAGAAATATTTCATATAGAGCACCATTAGAAACAGCAAGAGTCTGTTCACATGCGAATGATCTTAGAGAAGAATTAGAAAAAATTAGAGTAACTTTACTATTGAACAAATATCCATCCAAATCCATAGATGAACATATACAGAGATTTTTTAATGACCTAACTGAGCCAAGATCATCAGATAGATTGTTAAGTACAGAACATCTAACATTTAGAAACAAAGTACTAGGTGAGCAATGGGATAAGAAAGAAAAAAAGAAACATAGACTTCAGAAATGATATACTTTGACATTTTTCTTATACACTATTAATGGCGAGATTCATTAGCAATTTTTATAAAATATGGAAAGAAATTTTCTGAAGGAATGCTATTAGATGACACACATGTGACATATACGAATCAAACAACAGATAATTTAGAGTAAATGTTGGTAAAAAAGAAATCGAATAGACAAATATTGAAAATAGAGTAAGAACGAAGAAGATAACTATCAAAAACGTTTTAGTAAGAAACTAACAAAAAAACAAACTTTTCGTTTTTCTTCTTAAAAACAGAACTTGTTTTCATTTCCTTAGTCTTTCATTTATGTGTAACAATCAATCATTTCTCTCAAAATTCTCAACCTGTATAAAAATCTTTACCTTTTTTAAGAGATGTAAAAATAATAAACAATTCCCTTTATCCTCAAATCTCCCTTAAATATGTCGCAAAAATCAGTTCGCCTCTCATATTGCGAACATATGTAAAAATTTTCTTCTAAAATGTAAAAATTAAAATCCAATTCTTCTCTTATTCCTAATCTCAACAAATGTGTTGACTCCAAATATTTGTAAAAATTTTTCCATAATCATCTAAAAACATCTGATATCAAACTACTATAAGCTTAAACAGTACGTAATACAATAAACCTCATTAAAATACATCAAAATGATATTAGAATTCATCAAGACACCTCTAACAAAAATGAGCAAAAATACTTTAAATTGTATTAAAAAATTCATTGCGACGCATTAAAATACAATTAAAAACAGCAAATACATTAAATTCCATCAAAACTGAAATACGATAAGGATACAATGAAATTGAGAAAGAGACGATATAATAACAAAGATCGATTTAAAAAGACAGCTTTGAAAGGGCAAACATGAATATGATTCCACTAATTACTGATTGTTTCCCTGAAAAGTTATTGTTATTTCACTCATTTTTTTGTGTTATTTATTTAATCATTTGTTTTTTCTTTTCTTTTCTCCAAAATGAAAATACAAAATTCAAAACTCTTGGCTTTTTCTTACGCATTATATTATATGAAAAATTCTAGTTGACTTGATTTTTCCAAAAGATTTCAATTCATACAATTGAATAATAATGAATGATCTTGTTGTTCAGACTGTTTGGGAATCACAATATCTAACTTAACATTGTGATCAATTGTAGATGTGGTTGATAAACAAACAATAATATTAACGAAGCATAATACTCATTTTCATTTGATAGTTGTATACTGTTTTCAATCCGTAGCTAATAACAAGAAATTTCATGTGTTCGAAACAAAATTTGTAATCAATGTGGTATTAGTGATTGGATTACATCCAGCATTACATTGAAACACTAACACTACTCATAACAAAAAATTCATCAAAAATTTTAACTATTTCAATTAAAGATCTTCTTTCGTGAATTCTTCGTTTTTGGTACATATTGACAATAAAGCCGGAAGCATAACATCCAGCCGACAAAAAATCTTCATATACCCTTTTCAAAGGGAATTTCCAAATAACGTCAAACGTTATCATCAATTTAAAATGAAATCGTACCGTCTAATGAAACTACTTCTAACGGTTTCCGTAAATGAGAAATCCTGCTTGATGCAAATGGACTAAAAATCTGGAGTTTCGAATTGTGTAGACATATTGAGGAAAAATACGATTGATAGTACAAGTACTTACAGATCAGCGAACCAGAATAACGAGTTATCTTCGTTCGGAAAGGTTTTAAATCTTGCCACAGCGTTCAGTTTGATTAATTATTTACTCTATACATGGGATATCGAAAAGTTGTTGTTCAGTTCTCCCATTAATAATCATAATTTCAATATCTACAAAAGAATGAAACTTTGCATGTTCGAAATTTGTTTTATCACTTAGAAAACATTTAATTGTTTTCAGAAACTATCCCATTCTATTACTGCAAACTCCAATCAAGTTAAAATAGAAACTTAAGATATTGAGCAACTTCCTTTTATTTATGATTACTGTATCAGATGCATATTCAAATGAACAATCTATTAACCAACCTAGTCGATATAACGCAATACATGTTTTTCTGTATAGGAGCAACGCAATCAACTTTATCCAATATCGCTGCAATATATAAAAACACCAACTTCATCACAATTTCCCATTTCACAGCTCACTCTTAGGGCTTACATTCCA